AAATAAATAAAAATAAAAAAATGATATAAGTTTTAAAAAAAAAGAAACAAAAAGAAATTCAAACTAACCCTGCCACCCCCGCTATCCGGTCGCCATTCTCCAATGGGGGGGGGGGGTCGGTTAGGGGGGGCATTGAGGAACCTGGCCTTGGGGCAGGGAGAGTAAATGCGGTCCTGGCTATAGGCTGAGCATTTACCAATGTCCTCCTGTGACCCAAAATAGAACTACGGCCAAAAAAGCGTTTATTTTATTTTTAGTCACTGCAAAGCTAGTTGCTAAGTAAAAAAATAAATACTTACAAAGTGCATGTTTTTGCACCTTTCTGAGCCATTCCTATTGAAGTCTATTGCGGCAAAAACACTCAACTCTGCCCCATAAGAAGCTGATGTAGTTTTTTGAGCTGCAGGCGTTTTGCTACAAGTGACAGGTGTGAACAGGGCCCATTGAAAACAATGTGATTCCTCCCGGTCAGGGTTGTACCTGCTTAGACATTCCAGCTACCAAATGTTCAGGTGTGAAGGGGGGCTGAGGCCCTGTCCAAAGCAACTCCAGGGACATGCTGGAGCTGGTTCCAGGGACATGCTGCCCGGCACATTTGCAGGACTAGTGCAAATATTGTGTGCCATAAAAAACTTCAACTGCCAACAATTTATTCTCCATTGTCATTGCTTTCAGAAAATACATCGAGGGGAGTTTATAAAAATTGGAGCAGACAGAATCTGGAGCAGTTGCCCTTAATAACCAATCAGAGTCTATTCTCAGTTTGTTCGGTTGAGGTTTGAAAATGAAAGCTAGAAGCTGATTGGTTACCATCTGCTCCAGATTCTGTCTGCTCCAGTCTTGATAAATTCCTCTTTTAGTATTTTTGGGGTGGGGGCGGGGAGAGGGTTAAAGTAGTATTAAACTGTCACACTTTTTTTTCATTAATGAATCCAGATCGAAGAAATATTAATCGCCTAGCTAAGTATTTCTTTACATTTTTGGCTAAGCACTTCAAGTCATTAATGGGGGGAGAATTTATCAAAACTGGAGCAGACAAAATCTGGAGCAGTTGCCTAGGGCAACCAATCAGCTTCTATCTCATTTTCAAATCTTAACTGAACAGACTGAACTGAGAAGCTGATTGGTTGCACTGGGCAACTGCTCCAGATTCTGTCATCTCCAGTTTTGATCAATTCTCCCCATTATGTTTCTGAACAGCTGGTTCCAAGTCTCTCAGGTCTGCTTCCCTGAACTTCCTGTCCAGTACAAGATCACAGGGAACAGCACAGTCTCCAGCAGCTCCTCATCTACTAGCTTGGAGAAGGAAGGTGGAGTGAGGAGCAGGGGGAGGACAGTGACTTGCCTTGCTGTGCCTGTGTGTTTGTGGAGACACACACACAGCTTACTAGCACACACAAGGGGGGCTCCATAGGACTCTGCAAGGGAAAGGAGCCACCCTAAAACAGGATATCGGTGCCAGTGCTCAGGGAACCAGCTGATCCTGCAGGAAACTAAAACTTTTAAATATCAAGGAGCAGCATCCATTGTAAGTGATTTAACCAGCATTTGACATTGCTTAGAAACCTCTTGACTTTCATATCAGGTTAAAAGGAGAACTATGGGGTGAAGGCTTTTCCCCATAGCTCTCCTTAGGGTAACGGGAGGACACGAACTAGCGTCCTCCCGTCACCCTAAGCTCAGTATACCGCGAGCTACAGCTCGCGGTATACTGAGACGCTGAAGCCAGAGCGGATCCCGACAATTATGTCTGGATCTGCCCAGCTGCGTGAGTGACAGCTCGCTCTGCCTATCTAGAGGCAGAGCCAGCTGTACCCGCCCCCTCCCCCGTCTGATCCGCCAGTCAGCGCTGGCAGATCGGAGCGGGGAGAGGGGAATCCAGCCCCTCCCCTGTCACGGCAGAGAGCCGTGACAGGATCGAGAGGTGAGCGAACGCCGGTATGTGTTCGCTCACCTCCCGATCTACTGAGCCCACCTGTGACAGTCTCATTGTCACAGGTCGGCTAGAACTATGAGGTGAGTGGAAAGCACTCACCTCATAGTTCTCCTTTAAGCAATCTTCAGGGGGAAATTGGGCAGTTTAACATCTGTGCAAAGTAATGTCTCTGGCAGCAAAAGGGTTAAAGTGTGTGTAATTCCTGACAATGAACTTCCTTTTAGTCTGTTCAGAAAGTGCAAAAAACCTTGTTAATCTTATCAGACATTCAGAGCTGCCCTGTGTCCTCTCCACACTTCCCGTGTTATCTTAGAGAGCCCTTCTAGTTGTCA